GCTGTAAATTGTATTCGCCGTATGTATTTAAATAACTATTTATAGATACTAACATAATTTACATTAATAACTATTAGTTGGGGAGAAAAGTGAAGTAAAATGCCAAAAGAGAAAAGAAATAGACGAGAATTATTTAAAACTAGCAACCCGCCCCGGCTTCGCACGGGCAAATATAAAATAGCCTATGTTACTCCGAGGAGATGTAGCTTTCGGTAAAATTGGTTGAGTAGTTTTTGAGTTAAATCGTAACAAACAAAAAATCGATCATCTTTCATCTAATGCGACCCTAATATTAATTTTAATATAATTCACGATATATCTATATACCTAAAGACAACAAACGAACTCAAAACTAAAAATGCAAAATCTTTAAATTTAAAACAATATAGGTAAATACCAACAATGTGAAAACAAAACTAATTAAAATAAAGTACCTATGTTCAGGACTATCAATTTTAATTAATAAGTAAGCAGTTAGGTATCTAACTACCTAAAGAAAACAAACACGAAACAAAAATGCTACTATGAAGTTTTAAATGATTCACAATAAGAAAAAAAAAACAGACAAATTATGAAAACTCAATGAAATAAAAGTATGTTTGCAAGTATCTATGTATGTTCCGACTACCTAAAGACAACAAATACAAAACAAAAATGTGACCTTAAAATATCAAACGCAATTATAACTTTCCAACAACACCCAGAAGAAAACACAATCGTCAGTCGTCACCTTCATTCTCTCCAAGTCAGTTTATTAAAGGATCACGCGCGCGTTATCGTTCGGCCAATTAGCTAAACAGTAGGCAAGACGGTGCGGGGGGAGAGTCAGCAATCGCATCAAGCGAAGCGAGGCGCTTGAATTTTATTCTCGCGTCCGTAATTTTTTTGCGATTACTCCTCTCTAACGTATTTAAAATGATAAGGATTAATACCGTATTTGTGTAAATAGCTTTTACATTACCGCTTTATAGTTGCCAATTTTTAAAGTATTAAAATGGATATAGGTAGTATGTTTTCTTTAACATATAGACATATACCATCGCGGACTTTTCTGTAGGCATATATAAGATACACAATTCCACCATACATTGACTTTCGGACCCCCCCCCCCCCGGTCGAATCACCTTCCTCGAGAACCACTGTATCCATTGTTGAAAACAGCATGAAAATCGGTGCAGTAGTTTTTGAGTTTATCGCGAACAGATAGACAGACGCGGCGGAGGACTGTTTTATAATATGTAGTGATGTGGTTTAACAGTGATCTCGAAGGTTACATGGACATACGTATTAAAGGAAATTACCTGTTTCGTACTGTGTGTGAACGCATTATAAATTCTTGTTACAAAACTGAAGTAACAAGACATTTGAAAATGCCTCGACCAGCCTTGAGGACTCTGAACTTACAGACGCCTTTCTTTCAAGTAATATTCCATTAACCAAACTAGAGAACCCCAAGTTCTGTAATTCCGTAAATTGGAATCACATGGGCTATCCCTAAAAATCCAGGATACACCATTTTGGAAAACATAATGTAAAGTTTTATCTGGAATATATCTAGGGTCTAGGGTTGCCAGATCTCCGGGTTGTTAACGTAAACGTCATTTCTCCGGGTTTGTTTTTTTTATGCAGAAATATCGTGATTTCTTCGAAAATATATTGTCTCCCAGATTTCTTCAAACAATTTGTCTCCCAGATTTCCTGTTTGCATAACCTAACCTTTCTTTTTTTTAGGCATCAATTATAAAAACGGCTCATGTCTCCGGGTCTGTCATGAAATTGATCTGGTAACCCTAAACATATCAGGAGTTACCAGCAAATATATTAATATGTATATAGTTCATGCCTCAACAATTTCTCATATTGTCCGTTGTCAACAGTAGAAAGTAGAAATTTGGAAAAGCACGTAGTAATATGTTTTAACTCCTTCCAATGTGCCACGGGAACCTTATCTCAACACTAAGGTTTATCGGGTATGTGGTGTCATTTAAATTTATATAGGTATTTTATCCTCTACTTAACCTTGCTCATTAGTAATAGTACTATGTTGCGACATATTTTCTGTAAATATATTAATATTTTCATTCGTAATCTGACTACGGTCCTGTTAAACTCTGCGCCGCACTAAGCCTAATCATAAGTTATAAGACAATTTACACCAAAGTCATTTTTAAACGTATCTAAGGTTAAATGTTCCAGTGACACTTTTCCGAAATATTTCAGAATAGATTTGTCACCACTGAATTATAAATTGATACTAGTCAGAATAAAATGCAATAGTTTCGTCATTCTCTCTCTCACAGCACTTATTGAACATTATTTTATATAACTTTATACAAGTTGTGCAGAGCCTTAACTTTTAACTTTTAAAATTTATTAAAAGGAAAAACTATCAAACTTCACTTGTTGAACAAATAATAAATTTTTACTATGAAAGAAAAAAGAACATAATGTGAACCTATAACAGTTTATTAATATTTTTATTTAAGTGCAGAGTAAAACAAACTTAGTTTACTTTTTATTATTGATAAAATAGCATTACGAAAAAGTTACAAACTATTGCTCTCTGCTGCAATATAAAATAAATTCAAATTCATATCATTAGTAAGTTGTAAAACATCACAAATTATGTTCATAATGATGTCCTTCACTAGTTATGAACAAATTTACTCTCCTGTGCATATTTTCATACACATTTTGCAGTTGTTGTTTTATTCTTGACATCTGTTTTAAGGGATGTAAACCGGTTTCTACAAAAAATGTATGAGGATTTTTCTGCAGCCCAGGTTCTATAATTTTGGTTATTTACACAACTTGATATGTGAAACCGTGCTTCATCAGTCCAACAAGTCCAACAAATTATTGTTCATGTTTTCTATATACTCGTACCACTCACAGTATCTACTGTAATAGTCTTCCATAGCCTATGGGAAGTAATTCCTGCACAACAGTTACCCTGTATGGGTGTTTTTTTAAAGCTTGTTCCAACTAAAAGGGCTAATTTGAAAATTTTAGGATATTAACTATATTTCAATCTAATCTCAAATTCAAATAAAAAATTCAATGTTAAAATATTTTAGAGACAGAAACTAAATATGAGAATTTTGCATGAACTTAACAAATAAATATGTATTACAGACAACTTTGATACGGACTTTGTAGGACTTAGATTTATTCGTTGCTGTATATTATTATCGAAGACATTTTCTGTAAGTACAGTTGGTCTGCCCGTAAATTTTCCTTTGCAAATTTTTTCACCTAGTCTTATTGTTTGGTTTCAAATCTTTTCACACTAGAGTTCCGCTTCGAAAATGAGCCATTACAATAAAGGCATCTTGTTCTAGAGTAAACGGCGTAATGCGTTCTGAAATAAAAATACAAACCTCAATATTTTGTTTCTATTATAACTTACCAATAATTCGACGAAATGCCAAAAGTTTATATGTGAAAACAACTGATTGATTTGAAACATGCACGATTTAATATTTAAGCAAAAGAAACAATAAAACGATAGCAGCAAATGGGCTCAAACTAAAACAAACACGGACGACGGACGCCACTGAAAAATGCACAAATATCAGTTTAAGGCCATTGATCGTAATGATTCCTTTACAATAAACAGTAACAAACTATTGCGTCTACACTCAAGATAATCCGATCGCTGATTGGTTGAACGAAATGTGAAAAATTACACCAATCGTGAACCGGTAAAACGAAATGTTGCGTTTTAACCTAGTCTTATTGTTTTAGTAATTTTTAATTTTACCAGGATTTAATTGCCAACTCGTAGGAAATAAAATTACTGTTTCAAACAAAATTGCTGGTCACGTGGCTTGTAATCTTTTATGAAGATTCTGTACTAGAGCATTAAAATAGTTACTAAAGCTATAATGAAACTCTAATACAACTAGCATCTGTAAAGTTATTTTACAGTTATATAAGTGTTCTTAAAACTAAAGCGGGTATGAAGCGGGTATTAAAACGACAGTACCTACAACTTGCAAAATCCACTGTAAAGTGTTGTCCTAGATTGTTTTGTATTGATTAGAAGATTATTATAATGCTGCTGTGTATTTCGGAATGATAAAGTCCGAACACAAGATAAAGTGGCGTTTCCAGTAAAGTTCGGATATCCGCTGGCAAACCACAGCCGAAAATCTGTAATATCAACAGTAAATAATTTATTACCGGGCTCTACAGAGATCCTTTTTCTAAAAAAAAACCGATATAAAATTTCAAAACCTAAACACTGTTTGGTTTTATTAAAAAAAAAGCTTACGCAATCAGTCACTCAATTACCGAAACAGTTTTTGGTTTGATTCTAAAAAAGCAAAACCTAAACATTTTCGGTTCCATTTTGTCAGATTTTGACGAGGTTAGGCCCGGGGCTATAGGCCCCGTAGCCCCCCGACTCCCTAAACCATGTTTATTGCACCATGTGTTATTTTGCTCACAATTTTAACTTCTCGTATAATAATACAGACAATTTGCCACCTATATCATCCTCGTCAGTTTTTTCCTCTACTTTACCGACATCTAGATCAGCAAAGGTATAATTTTTCAGTCAATGTAATTGTCGAATTTGCTGATGAATCTAAAATTGATATTATACAAGCATTTTCTGTTACATTTCTACAATTCACGTTTTGGATAGTACATTTTTCCAAGGATGAAACTGAGCTTCCATTTTGAATGAGTCGCACCCTCGCTAATTGTAAGTGTAAGTCCAATTTACTAGCGCTGGCCGCGTCCAGTCGAATCGACCCTCACCCGCCCCATAATCTCCACGGTTAGCGAGAATGACACACGACGGTCCACCGGCGTCCCATTCTGATGCAAATCCGAATTTAGGGGAGCAGGGAGGGCGGCCTCGTTGCGAGCGACAGATGCATTTTCTCCTCGTTGGGGTGGCTGGGCACGGTGTTATGGTTGCAGCAGCGCGTGGCGAGCGGATCAGTGCAGTTCGGTGCAGCCCGAGAGCGGGACGGTGCTCTCTTCAGCCCAAAATTCCGTCTACGAATAGCCAGTTAGCCGCGTCCGTGAGGATGGAATAAGGATAACTTTTGTGCCTTCACCCACAGACAATCCAAGACCGATGCGTATCAATTCGACTGGTGGTGAATGAAACAGTATCAAAAAATATGTGGTGGTTAATCTAAAAAAATGAGCCCATAAAGGCGCATAGATCCAGCACGTTTTGCTGAGTGATTTCCTCTGTGTCTTTGTTTTTTTGAAACTGTGCAATATGGGTAACAGTGGCAGTGGCATAAGAAAATCGAGGAGTTTGCCGACATCCCCAGAGGTTCGTCGTGCGAAATTGTTAGTATTCTTTTTGTAAAATAGACAAGAGTTTATGTTTGTACGCCTGTTTAAATATACATAACGTCGACCATCGTAAAGTATGATATGCATACCATGAAACAAATCATCATAGTAATGCTTATTGCATCCAGAACTGACACCCCATAACAACGAAGTTTGTTAAAATTATGGATTTTTTTGTCATTAGTTCTTTTTTACTTTATTCCAGTGGTGTTGTTTTAAAAATTAATTAAAACTACCACAGATTCTTGTGGTCACAAGATGATTTAACTGGACTTATCTCTATCCGGAGTTGTTTTTTTACGCGCCAAATTAGCAAAATATTATAATTTTGTTTCCCAAATAATTCTAAAACGTTTTGATGAGATTTTTAATATGCCAGTGTACTTGTTTATATTCGTAATTTTTTTGGCACTACAATCTAAGTCAGAAAAAATACCCTCACCTCCAGGTCCAAAATTTCCGGAAAAATTGGGTGCGAGAAATAAACTTTTCTTTTGCCTAGATAAATACTGAAAATCCGAAGAAATGTAACCCTTGTTAAAATCTTGGAAATAGCGTTCTAATCACTAGGTTTGCCAGTAGAAATAATATATTGTTATAAAAAGATTTATTTTAGAAATTATTTTAATCAGAAAATTGTCGGGCCATTTGCACTTTTAGATGGCACCGATTAAAGCGGAAATCAAAGATTATGTGGTTGTGAAATCAGAAACATGAGGCGTGTAATCTGAAGATCCTAGAATAATATAACTGAACATGCACAATGTTTTTTTTCTTAACTCGATATTTTAGTATACTTTTATGTTAAAATTTCTTTTGTTTTTTTAGTTACAGAGAACTGAAACTTTGTTTTTTTTTCGTTGTTTATTCATGAAAATTGAGGATTTTGGTTCGTTTTGTTGTTTTAAATAAAATATTATATTTACCTTTTGTTTTTGTGCTCTAGCTCTACATTTGGGGACATGCGAATATATAAATTTTCTCAAAATATGTTATTATCGTACTCGTTGCGCATTATACCAATAAAATATATCTGGAAATAAAACATTTTAATACGTTTGTTCAAGTGTTAATTTTCGGAATTTTACAATTCTTCAATTTTGTACAATTCTTCCCATTTTTGAAAGAGAAAATTTTTACAATTTTTCCTTTTTTTTGAATTGTTAAATGTTTAGTCCCACCTCGCGAACATATTTCTTTGCTGATAAAATAACAAGCATGAGTTTTTTGTAGTTTTTTCTCGTAATTTTTTAATATTTCCAATGATTCCACACATATTTAATTGTTTTACTGAAATTTAAACTATTGAATACTATAACAAAGAGTGCCAGTTAAAGCAACTTTGTTCAAGATAAATATTTTCCTGTGCACTTTTTGCAGAGTACCTATCGTTGAAAAATATGACAATTGCCTCCATAATTTCATATAGCGTCCGCATGTGTACAATTAGCTATCTAAAACACGATTACAATACAACTAAGGTAACCGAACCAAATATGGGCACCCCTAAGCAAATTATTTTTTTATAATTACAGTATTTGTTATAAAATAACTAAATTACTTGTAGATATTCTTTAGATCATGAGAAATTATAAAATGTGTAAAGAATTGATCAAATTGTAATACAGTTTGTTTAAAAAAATAAATAAAAAAAAACGTTAAATGCTCATATTAGGACCAGGGTGTCCAAATATGGGCATTAGGTGCCCATATTTGGGGCAAGTGATTAGGTACATTTTTTTCATTCATATGAAAATAAGATATTAATGTGGTATAAACAACGCATAAAGATATTTTATTAAAAAAAATAAAATAAAACATTGCATTCTGGAAACATAAAAAATAACAATAACATACCTATAAATTTTGTAAAGTACAAAACCTAAATACTGAAATATTTTAACAGCTTAAGTTTCACATGTCGGGCACTTGAAATTTTTTATTTTATCCTTTGAGGTCAAGCCGCAACATTCCTCATGTACCCAAGTAGTACATAGGGTACATTGTCTCATGTCTATTTGTCGATCCTCATTACATAAAACACAATACCAGGATTCATTGGGATTTGACAAAGCACTATAAGATGTATTTTTCTTCTTAGATTTACCTTTTAATTTGGCTGTGATTGTTTCATCGTCAGAAAACAGTGCTTTTGTTACTTGAACAGCCTTGTAATTAATGGCTTTTTTGGCAGGATTTTTAGCTGTGGACTTTGTAGAAAGATCTGGAGTTGGAAGCAACTCTGAAAAAGATTGTGAATGGTTACCATCTGAATGGTCACTGGATTCTTCGGCAGTAACATGTGCCGGAGAAGAAATTGACGACGATGATGCTTCTAAGTCACTATCTTCGTCTGTGGAACTGATGTCTTGAAAATCCTCAGAAGTTGAAGGTTTAGTGAAAGCTACAACGGGATGATTTGCAATGTTTTTCTCAGGATCTTCTTGAGGTCTCTTTGATATCGTTGATGGTGCAAATGCGGTTTCTGGTATTATAGTTGGGTCAAATGGATATATGCCAGTTGCTCGAAATCCTGCTGCTACATTTGATGGTGTAGTCGCTTTTGGCCAAACTTTAGAAAACACAATGCCAAAACTTGATTTGGTTAGTTTTCTGTCTGGACGAACGCCCCAAAAGCGTTGTAGCTCATCGTCCCAGTGGTACTCAAATGAACGAAACACTGACTTATCCATAGGTTGTAATTCATGGGTGCAGTTGCTCGGAAGACACAATAACGTTATATTAGCTTCGTCTGCAGCAGTAACAATATTCGCATCTAAATGGGATTTAGCTCCATCAAAAATTAAAAGTACCTTTCCTGGAGGTTTATGTTCGGCAAAGTGATGAACCCACTCAACAAATGTAGCACAAGTCATGCTCCCTTTTTGAGTCATGAATTCTTTAGCTCCAGGAGGAAGACTATCCGAAAATTCAGGTTTATTCCTTTTGCCTTTGAAAAGAATGACGGGTGGTATTACTTGGCCTAAAGCATTCCCACAAGATACCACTGTCACATTTTCGGCGTGTTCTGGTGCTACAAAAGGTACTCTTTTTATTACTTTACGAGTTAATATTATTGGTTCCTTATGAACAGTTAGCTGGCACCCTTTTTCGTCCATATTAAATATAAGGTGCGGTTTGTCCATAATATCTAGCTCTGTCATAACTCTATTTAATGTTTCGAAATAGTGTTGAACAATAAATTTATTCAACTTTGCAGCTCGTGCAAGGTTAACATTTTGTGATTTTCTTCGAGAAACTTCGGGATGTCGTCTGAGGTATAGCTTAAGCCATTTTCTTCCTACTAGAGGTAAATTTTGTTTGCTGGTTAGCAACTGAATATTATTTGTGTGGCAAAATGTGTATACACTTCTGCGTAACACTTTTGATGTCAGAGGCATTCCTATCTCAGCTAATCTAAATATCCTAGAGCACAGCTCTTCTTCTTGTTCCTTGCTCAAGATAGGCTTGCGACCCAAACTTTTAACCTTATTTCCAGTTCTGGCATGTCGTTGTAATGTACTGCGTGGTATTCCAAAGTTTATTGATGCCCGCTTTATTTTCATTCCTTGCTCAATTGCTGTAACAGCAGCAGCCAAAGTCTCTGAACTCCATTGCGCTCTTTTTTTTGGTGGCATTTTCTAAAAGAAAACAATACCTATTCACGTTTGTTCAGCTAAAAAAAATTTTCCAAATATGGGCACTGCCCATATTTGGAACATGCGGTAGTGCCCATATTTGGCACATTAAGATTTTGTCAGTTCTCTTATCAAAACTATTTTCTTCAATGAGGTAGAAAAAAACCTAAACTTTTACATGCAAGTACATACATTTAGCTATACATTGACATACAATAGTTAACATTTTGTAAATATTTTTACGGCAAAATTAATAAAAATTCACTTACCGAAATTACTACTCTCACGTCTGTTGTTGATAGTTCTGCTAATGGTAATTATCAGAACGCCCTCTCGTGATCCGTAGAATACTTAACTTATAGAGAAGACCTATTTAACCTTACTCGTCGTAGAGAACTTTGGTATTTGAAGAAATAACTGTTTTTTAGCAAATTCTTAGAAAGTGCCCATATTTGGATCAGTGCCCATATTTGGTCTAGGTACCTTACATATAATAATTATACACAACAAATTATATTTGAGTACAAGAATTTTTTCCGTTATCTACATCTATTCCGATCCAGTTTGTGCATTGCGTAAGTTGAACTAGACTTCAATTTTAGTGTTGATTGGGAAACGGTAGTCTGTTTAACAATTCCATTGCGCGTCTCTTTCTAACTTTAGACATTTAAATCCGTTTCTCGAACAAATTATGGGCTTGTGGTAATTGGAAGGAAGACAAGATAAACGTGACACTCTTGTTTTAAAAATAAGTGGATGTGAATTGGAAAAGTTTACAGTATGTATAGAGAAGTTTTCCAATTTACTAGAAATACCAAATAATTAGTAGTGTTTCTGAAAGTAAAACAGTAAATTCAAATGTTTAACGTTCATGTATTTAGTAAATTGTTAAACACATTGTATTCAGCGACGCTTTCTTGAAGATAATGATAGGAACTTTATCGATATGACATATGACGTAAAGGTGACGATGTCGATAGTGAAACAAAAATAACAAACGAACTTGTTTGAACCCGTAGACGGTAATTTGCAATTCACATTGTCGTGTGCCTTATTGTACGCGTATCTTCAAATCAATTGTGTGCCATCTTATGGACATTTCGTTTATTTACATATGAATATGAGTTAATTTTTCCAAGAAAGTCATTAAAACGCCAAAGTTTCAGCATTACAATTTTTCATGTGTCAATTATAACAATTGGTTCGTCCATTCTCCTTCAACAAAAGACAATAACGGTTAATATTTTCGAATGGCCTTGCACCCTTGATACATATCTTTTCTCATACGGGGTGTCCAAAAAATATCTTTTCCTCGAAAACCGCTTAGTTGAAATAAACGCAGAGTAATTAGAAAGGCTTAATTAAAATAATAATAAAAAAGAAACAAAAAAACGTGAACTAATTAATGCTTGTATTTAGTATTTAGGCTAGCAAAAAAAACTAAGATATTGAACCATTCCATAACCATAAATGACAATGTCTTAAAACGTAAATATGTAATTCCAGTGAAATATGCAAAGCGTCTTGTTATAGAAATACTATAAAGTTTAGAACATTTGGTAGACGTAGAGGAATGTGCGTTATCTCCATAAAAGAATGCAGCCATGAATCATTCCAAATGTTTTTCTTCATTGCTCATTTGTTTGTTGCAAAATTAACGCAGCAATTTGTTAAAGAAATTTATAGCCTTTATTATATGCTTGTTTCAGTTGTGATTGCCATTAGAATCCCTAGAATAGTAAGAAAATTATTGCAAATGTTCTGGGCTGAGTCGCAGAAAAGTAAATATGTATTAGGTTTTTGGGAGGGTTGTTATATTATTCTAAAATTGTCGTAAGAGAACAATATACAAAAAATGAGTGTAAATAACCGTCGAAAAATGATTGAACAAAATGCATTTATTCAGTATAATCTGGGTTACACTATTTGATAAAAATGTCTCTAATACTATGGGCGCCATTTGAAAAGTGACCTTATACCACTTTCACACGATTAACTTAATAAAGCACAACTATAAACGCGATAGTAAATGATGGTTCAGCCCTCAGATAAGCAATAAATTGTTGGAGATGTCTAATAAGTGGAAAAAATCAGCCGTTAAATTAAACTAATAGACCTTAAATCGAGCCTTAAATAGGGGCCATTGTCAACTGATTAATTGAATTAATAAAAATGCTCTTCAAACACTGGTATTGTACACATCTACACATGTTTTTTATTGATTGGATCGTCATCAAACAGACCTCCCGCGATTTGGTAAACTTTATATTTTTTATTGGTTTTGGAGGGCCAACATGTGGCACAGTTTATACCTTTCATGACTTGGTTGAGGGGTATTTAGTTTTTACAGACTTATTATTGACTTAAAGTAAGACCGGTCTACTCCACAGATAAATTGTCTTGTTGACTGGTGTTTTCAAAATTAAGTCATTTTGAAATTATGGCAGGGAAGCTTAGAGTTTTAGTTATGTCCCCTATAAATTTTATCGCCCTAACTTTATTATTGCAAAATATACATCTTTTTGAATTAGGCAGGCCTTTTTAATTTTATTTGAAAAAAAATTAATTATATCAAAAACGGTTAACTTTAAAAATAGGAAACCTTTACGATAGTTCACCTAAAAATTGACGTAGAATCCAAAATTGCAATAATATACAGGGTGTTCCATTTAAAATAACGAAGATGACGTCAACTTCCGGTATAACCGGAAGCGTTATGTGGATGCCATTATTTTAGTTGAGAAGGGCATGCGCGAAAACACTATTGCCCAAATTTTCAAAATTAAATCGCACACCCTGTAAATGAATAAAAGTTTTTTTAATTTCTCCCAGTTTCCCCAGTTTCCTTGAACATATAATCTTGCTTGGCGTATCCAAGATTAGTAATGATTTTTGGTAGTGATAAGTTAAAATTTGGACCTACTGTTTTGTAGACCAAAGATTTCATATTCCCTAAAGTTATAAACCACGTGGATTTAGTTCTGGCGATCGGGCGCACCATAAGAGAGGTATATTGCATCACGTGCACCTACCAGGAAACGTTTCCTTTAAAAAAGTGCCTCTCATCACGTTGCCCATATTTGCTAGAGCAAAATTTAGAACGTAAATGATTATGAAAATGTCAAAGAGCGACGACGTTAAAAATGATAGCAAGCACTGATTTATTACCACGCGGTAGTACGAATTGTATGATTAATAATTACAGAAACAGCGACAAAAATCTCATGAGCTTCATGCCAATATCTGTATGTATATTATAACATTTTTATTAAGGTAATTTTTGGTGAAACGCATTATTTTCGAGTTTTGTCTTCAACGTTTTGCGGAATATAAAAGCTGCTGTATATGAGTAAATAATAAATACAATGAACTTCCTGTACATACAATTATTGTAAGACAATTATTGTTAAAATTATACGTCTACGTATGCCCTGTCAAGCATAGCTTAAAAAGGCTTTGGCATTGTCCCGTGCAATCATAATATACGAGTATTGTTCAATATTAAAAAATAAAAAGATTTTTGTTATGAATTATGGGCCCATCATCTTTTGTTTTTCAGATACTGGGCGTTAAGGTTAATTACTTTTTTAAACATAGTTTCTGTTTCATAATTCGACAATACCTAAATTTCTATAATTTAATAATTTATTAGCACAAAAGTTTTAAGTACAGTTTGTACTAATTTTTAAAAATTTTTGTAGGTTTAATGATAACTAAAACATAATAAATTTTGACTGATTTTGGCATTATATTATGTAGATACGGTTAAGGCAGATAGTTTTAAGATAAGAACTTTCAATTCTATACAAACTTCTGCATTTCTTAAACGCTTTTGTGTTTGTACAACGAATTATTACCATTGCTGCCTGATGGTATTCGAGGGAACGTTATCTTTACGACCCCACTGTGCCAAATTAATACTAATAATGTGTTATCTCTGAACCACCCTCTAGGTTTATTTGAATATACAGGAATCGTTTACCATAATGTTATAGGAAACCGTAGTGTCACGTAAACTTTAAGTATAAGATATTCGATGGTAATCTTAAATCTGCATAGTTAGTAGTTATATCTTAGTGAAATAGAGTGCACATATACAGTGTGTCCCCGGACGGGAAACCGCACTTTTGTTATTGTTGATTTTCGAGAAAAAGTTATTCTTGATAAAAAATGTTGCTTATCTTGGAAAGCCATTTAACAAAGTTGTTCGAGAACTGTATGTTTTATTGTATAATTTGATTACTGTCCATGGCTTCCCAAGATAAGCAAAACTTTTTATCAAGAGTAACTTTTTCTTTAAAAAAGAGTGCGGTGCCCCATTCAGGGACACTCTGTATATCCACACTGGAAACACATTTTTAAAATTTTTAATTAATATTTTGGGAAACACCTACTATTTCCCCTAAAAAAACTTCATCCTGACAGAATAAAAATACTTATCAAGTCCAGATCTAGTTCAAGATTATCCGAGAGATTATCTAATAATTTATAAGTGTACTTTACTAATAGTAGCAGCTTTCTTCTATTAAAAAATTATTCGTCATTGACACCACCAACGATTAAGACAATCTAACACACCCTGTACAACTGAAATGTTCGAGAATAATGACCCATTTATGCCTTGCTTAAATAGCAATGGTAAAACCAAGTACTACATTTCTAACAATTTATTAATAAGAAACGCCCTACATACAGGGTGGGCCATTAGTGTGAGAAAGTAAAATAACTCCCTTGTTATTCATAATACAGAAAAAAAAAGTTATATAAAAGTTGTACAGAATCAAAAAACCTAAAGGACAAAATTAATTCGAAACACACAGGGCAATGAATAAGTACGGGACACGCCAAATATTACATTTTTTAAATGGAACACCCTGTAATTTTTTAAAGATATGGATTTCTGAGAAAATTCTATGTATAGCAATATAAATAGTTTAACATTTTAGTGCAGGGTTGTCAAGTTAAGTAGAAAATTCTTCGAATTTTGGAAAAAATATGACCTGGAAGAAGTATTAACTTTCAACTACTAACACTTGGAACAAAAATTTTAGACAGAGTTATAGGCAAATGTTAGGCAAAGACTCCTATATTAGCTAATATCGATATTTTATACAGGGCATTTTTTAGAATACGATAATGGAACACTCTGTATTTTATTGTTCTATTTTATTCACATATCAGTCCACTTCAACTTTTATTAAGTATGTTCTACACTTAAAGTTATTAGTTTTTAAGATATACAACATTTCTGGAAAAACCTAATTTTTATTATATTCGGTCGCACGAAATGGCTTTGGAAAAAAACTGTCACACTGTGTCACCTTGTCAGTTCGTAATTTATCATTCCATTTTGAGTTAATTTTATTAGTTAATATTTATTTGTGGTATTCTATAAAATAATAAAAAAAATTTTCAGAAATGTTGCTACATCTTAAAAACTAACAATTTTAGACATATAACATGCTTTAATAAAAGTTGAAGTGGACCGATATGTGAATAAAATAGAAGAATAAAATACAGGGTGTTCCATTCGAAAAATTTTAGAAAGTCGAGTAAACTTTCCAAAGATGATCGTATTATAAAAAATGCCCTGTATAAAATATCGATATTAGCTAATACAGGAGCCTTTGTTTAACATTTGACTATAACTCTGTCTAATTATTTTGTTCCAAATATTAGTAGCTGAAAGTTAATACAACTTCTTCGAAGTCATGTTTTTTCCAGATTTCGAAGAATTTTCTACATAACTTGGCAACCTTGCACTAAAATGTTAGACTATTCATATTGCCGTGTATAGAATTTTCTCGGAAATCCATCTGTTTAAAAATATACAGGGTGTTCCATTTAAAAAATGTTATATTTGGCGTGTCCCGTTTTTATTCATCACCCTGTATGTATCAAATTAATTTTGTTTAGGTTTCCTGATTTTGTATAACTTTTATATAAACTTTTTTCCTGTATTATGAGTAACAAGGGAGTTATTTTACTTTCCCACTCTAATGGCCCACCCCGTATGTCGGCCGACTTAAAACTACATTTTTGTACATTTGAACACAATCAATTTTTTAAAATTTTTTTTTCCATCTTACTACCGTATATTATCACTGAGACCAAATAAATAGCATATTGATTGCCCCTGTTACAATCTCTGACCAATTTCATTCCTCAACAAACCCCACTAAATTCCATTTTACCGCCAAACCGGCGTAAATAAATCGAAGTCCGCTATTTTTAACTTTAATCCCCTTTTAAAACTAAACCGCTTATTTACACGCCCGCGAACCATAACAAAGCCCCGCCGATAAATCCAAACAAATCCCATTAGTTGAAGCTCACTGTTTATTTTTCGTTTCAGATCCTCGGCCATACCCCACAAGGGCGGCAGCAGCATACCCTTGCCTGGGTCGGCCATACCTGCTCGAAGATGTCCCCCGGATAAGGTCAGACCCGTGGCTAGCTCCAGCAGGAGTTCCAGCCCGGCCTTGTCGATGATACCCAGAGCTCCTCCTTCTCAAATCACAAGTCCCTACCAGAGCAACGGCCAGTCTCAGAAGAATTCCATGTTGGACAAGCTGAAACTCTTCAAAAGCAACGACAAACCAGCTCCTGTCACTAACGGGAAGAGAACCAGTAGTTCTAGTGGTGTTTCTTCAGCCAGGAGCGAGCGTAGTGATTCTAGCGCTAGCCTTGAACCAAACGTGGACTTAAAGCCAGTCAGGAACACTTCTAGGCTGAAGCAAACTAGACCTGGCAAACCAACGCAACCGAAGAACAGCCCCAGCTCCACAAAGAAGGAACTGATCAGTGGAAAAACTAGTAAAACCGCTGCCGATGTGGAAAAGCATGCCCATAAAGTTGCCAACCTTCCAACAGCCAAACTAACGGAACCAAAAATTCGCGTCACTATCAACAAAGACGTCAAGAGTCACGCCTTGCCCATACAACCAGCACCCGGTACTGGCATACCAAAACCCACAGCTGCCATCAAAGGTACCAGTAAAATTACGAGGGACACAAGCTCCAACTCTATAAAAACTCCAGGAAGCACAGGCGTGTCCAGAGAAAGTTCCCAAGTATCTCTGAAGCAACACAAACCGGCTATAGCTCTGGTATCTCCAATTAAGAATGAAAAGGAAACCAACCAGTTGTCTGAAAGCAGTCACAGTGCTAGTACGGGTCACCACAGCAACTCCAGCGAAAGTTCCGTCATTTACAAACCTTCCAGTGAGAGCGGATCAGAGCACCACAATATTATCCCCAACAGAAAAGAACCTTTGACTTACATTACCGATGTTACCGAGCAATCACCCCCTCCACCCGCTCCTCAGACCCCGAAAGAACACGTGAAACACCTAGATAAAAACTCAAGTGCCGAAAAGGAAACCAAAAACATATCGTACCACAATATCAGCACCAGAGAGAAGCTAGACTTACCTAAAGAGGAATCAACGCACCACAAGAAAATCCTGAACCATATCAACGAGAACCCGACTGAAGAAAGGGAAGACAACACCACGTTGTGTATCGAACCCATGAGGCCTCTCCTTAGAGGCTATTGCAGCACCTTGACGTTGCCTTCGAGACAGAGGCATTACCAGAGGGTCCAACCTGATGGTGGATCGGACTACTGCGAGATTTCTCTGGCTAACGGGTACTTGTCTGATGGAGAGATCCTGAGGCACACGGGAGCAATGGACATTGGCGATGGGTACATGTCGGAGGGAGGGTCGGTGTTGTACACCAGGCGGTTGCAGACCATGCCCGCGCATATTCCCAATGGGTAAGTGACATTTTCTGATTGTATTAAGTGTAGCGATGTGTACGTAGAAGAAAAACGGATATATTTTGAAAAAAAACATACAGTGTGTTGCTAATATATCTACAGCCAACCGTTTTCAACAAAAAGGCATTTAAATTTGTATATACATAAAAAAAAATTAGGAACAATCGTTTATTAGTAAGAAATATGCCTTTAAAGGAAAGAGTGCAATGACAATTTTAAATTTTCTTTATTTAACAATTTTACCGCAAACTAAATTAATAGAGCAAAAACATACTTTCTGAAAACAACCTAATTTATCTAAACAATGTAAACAAACTAAGCGATCTAAAAATCTAAAATATGACTAATTATTATTGACCTGTCTTAAAAGAGGTTCAAAATGTTCACCACCTACATACAGAGATTAATTTAATGCAAAATGTTGAACTGTACTCTTCGTAAGATTTGTGGATTTCTAATGACATTTGTACTATACTCAATTCTTTGCCACAGATCATCACTATTATTGACGGGTGTCGAATAAACCGTCTCTTTTAGGGTTCCCCAGAAAAACTAATACATCCGGGTCATATCTGGGAAGCACGGCGGCCAATTTACTGGAACGTTGTTACCCCTGCCGATCCATCTGTTTGGATAGAGTTGATTTAAAAAGGCTCGAACTTTAACAATGAGGGGAAGCTCCATCGTGTATATACCATATAGTCAATCTCTAAGCTAAAGGTATCTTTTCCAATAATTCTGCTAATCTATTTTCAAGGAAGTCTAAATGATTTTCCCCATTAAGTCGATCAAGCAAAATAGCAGGATCAATCATATTATTATCAATTATCCCAGCCCAAACGTTTATTTTAAATTCATGTTGAGTATTTTAGGAGCACGGGGATTTACTTCGGCATACACATGTTCATCGTGAATATTTGATATTCCAACCTTAGTAAAACAAACTTCATTTGTGAAGATTTTTCTATGGAAAAACATATCCTGCTCATTGATAAAGCGACAAAAACCAAGCCGTAATAAGAAATCGTCTGGTAAAAGTTCTTGAATTTTTTGCAAATGATATGGATGTTGTTGTTCCCTTGTTCCCGGTTCTTCATTTATACGTTCTAAAATTCGTTCTTCTACATCGGTAATCCTTATGTTGCGTCCATAATCAACCATAACAGGAACAAAAGTCCATCTTTCACGTATAGACCGGGAGATACTCGTAGAAGTTCAACGACAGCGTTTATGCCTTTTAGCGGTACTGAAAGATACATTAGAGACAAATAAGATTATGGAAAAAACCGATGTACCCGCCGGGACACCTATGTGAAAATTTAATTTTCTTTTGCAATGTGGCTTTTCCAAAGCCCTATTTTCTTTAGTCCTTAGTAGGACTTATGCCAATATTTTTTATGAGCTTTTCGAATATGTCATATTTCTAATTGGCATTAATGAGAAATTGGTAGACAAATAAAGATGTTTTTCGCATTTTCTTACAAAGTTTTCCATTTTTATGTCCTTTGCGACACTTATGCCAAAAAAAAAATTTGTGATAAAATCGATACTTCTCTTCAACTTATGAACATGGCATAAGTGAGAAATACGTCGCTGTACACATTATTTTTTTGAAAAGGAAAATTTAATTTTCACAAAGGTGTCCCGCAGCCCATCTTTTAAATTTAGTTTATTGTACTTGTCTCTCGGTTACCTTTCAATACTCTCAAAGGCATAAACGAGAAAGACGTCGTCGAACTTCAGTCTAATATCTCCCGGTCTAGTAGGCGTCTTTCGATGCGTGCAAAAGTTTGATGATTTAGAATGCGTCTGTTTGGAAACTTATCGCGATATATCCTTACAGATTGTCGATAATTTCCTTGACAAAATCCATACATTGACTTGCAGAGGTGATCTGATTTTTGGTTGGCTTTTGTCGCTTCATCAATGTGCAGGATATGTTTTTCTATTGAAAAACATATCTTTTAAAACAGGTCAATTAATAGTTATTTTTTAAGTTTTTAGATTTTTTCATCGTTTAGATTGGTTACATTGTTTAGATTGCGTTAGATTGATTAGATTGTTTTTATAAAGTATGTTTTTCACTCTGTCAATTTTGTTTGCAGTAAAATTGTTAAATAAACGAAATTTAAAATTGTAATTGTACTGTTTCGTTTAAACGCATATTTCTTGCTAATAAACAATTGCTCCTAATTTCGTTTATCAGTACAGTTGAAAATAACTTTTAAACAAATTCTTTTATGCATTTAGAAGTTTTAATGCCTTTTTGTTGAAAACGGTTGGCTTTAAACATATTAGCAAGATATACCTTTTTTAAGCAGAAAAGTAAGGGGAAAAGATTTTACCAGCCCAAAGTTAAGTATACCATGACACAAAAAAGTTTTGGCAGTTTAAATGCGTCCTAATGTTCGCTTGTGGCGCCCTCTAGAAGATACAACGAAAGCGTAGATAAATTCGAATTTCTAATCCAAAAAAACCTCCTGATACGAAATTTCAGCTCTGTTCTTATCAATTTTTGGACTAAGGCAACATTAGTTAAATCGACTTATTTTGAGCCATATTATATCTGGTAGAGCGTTGTACTGAACCTTTAGAAACACCCTGTATAACTCAAATCTTTTTACTGAAAAATGCTGGGTTTGAAATTTTCACTTAATGTAAGTAAAAGGGAAAAGTACAGGTCCCATATTTTTTAACCTATTTTCATTTTCCAAAGGACTCTATTCTTAACTTGACTTTCTTTTATATGATAAAAATCCATAATGTTTTATAAGTTTATAATTCAAAATCGGATTCCTACTATCTCAGCTCGGTATTGCTTTTTATCCAGTTACAATGCATTTTGCGCGTACAATGGCCGACGCTTCAGAACCCCCTTTTTATCTTGGGTATTTGGGAAAATTCGCACGTCAAACCTCGTCCTCGTCCACCATTAATCTAGAGGGCGAGCCTAGGTGATTTGTGATTTCGCCCTGGCGTCTAGAACAATGTTTATAATGCCGTAATGCTGCGGGGGCTCCATTTGTAACAATGCGTTTCCATTCATCACGTTGATTACGCACTCTATTACTATTATAAGGGCATTCCGGATAATCGGATGTGTGGATTTCGTATTCGGTTCGAGTGCGATGCGCCCGAGCTTCGTCACGCGATTTAAAAATAGAGCCGAAATCGGGGGATAAAGGTTCTTGTGTAAACGGTGACTGTATCCTACGTACGCCGTGGCAAATGGCTGTATCAATCTTTCGGAGGCGCGCTCAGGAACCGTCTATTTTCAGTCAAAACGTCAAAAAGTGCTTATTTATGCCGGTTTCGGCTGACTGCTCTGTAGTACTCGTAGATCGCTCTTCTCAAAAAAATTATATTTAGATGGGTTGCTCTACGTCGCGCTACAACAGAATATCAAAGCTGATAAAGAGAATTGCTCTACATTAAAAGTATACTGCTCTTTTGTGCTCGTACTATTCAAGAAGGAGCAGTGTAGATGAAAATAAAAGTGCAACTTCCACATCCGAGGGGTCGCTGAATCCGAACCCGAGGTCAATTAACCCCATCACTTCAGGATGTTTCATAACCTAAAAAAACGATATTCTGAACAATTAAACCATAATACTCAAGCTTCCAACGCTAAATCCAATTAACCAAATCCCATAAACATTTAACCCAATAATATCCCAACCTAATAAGCCCATGAACCTAAACCCTAATAACCCTATAACCTCATAACTAAGGGAATAAATCATAGGCAATCTTTATTATTACAAAACATCACATAGCTGAGGACTCCTTGAAACCCAAGTACTCAAACCCAAAAACTCCCATAATCCTATAACCCCATAACCTAAGAACCCCATGACCCCATAACCGAGGAAATAAATCGTAGGCAATCTGTATTGCGGGACTAAGGTTCATTCATTCCTTAAACCCTTCTTGCGTGTACCTGCGGGCAACGGAGTGAGCCCGTTATCCGGTTGAATCCCTGAATCCCATAAACATTTAACCAACCTAATAAGCCCATGAACCCAAACCCTACTAACCCTATAACCTCATAACTAAGGGAATAAATCATAGGCAATCTGTATTATTGCAAAACATCACATAGGTGAGGACTCCTTGAAACCCAAGTACTCAAACCCAAAAACTCCCATAATCCTATAACCCCATAACCTCATAACCCCATGACCCCATAACCGAGGGAATAAATCGTAGGTAATCTGTATTACGGGACTGAGGTTCATTAATTCCTTAAACCCTTCTTGCGTGTGTCTGCATCCAGGGATTCAACCGGATAACGGGCTCAGTCCGTTGCCCGCAGGCACACACAAGACAGGTTTAAGGAATGAACGAACCTTAGTCCCGCAATACAGATTGCCTATGATTTTTCCCTCGCTTATGGGGTCATCGCGTTATGAGGTTATGGGGTTATAGGATTATGGGAGTTTTTGGGTTCGAGTACTTGAATTTTCAAGAAGTCTTCAGCTATGTGATGTTTTGCAATAATACAGATTGCCTATGATTTATTCCGTTGGTTATGGGGTTATGGGGTTATAGGGTTATCGGAGTTTGGGTTCATGAGCTTATTAGGTTGGCATATCATTGGGTTAAATGTTTATGGGATTTGGTTAATTGGATTTAGCGTTGGAAGCTTGAGTCTTAAGGTTAATTGTTCAGAATATCGGCCTTTTTGAGGTTATGAAAAATCCTGATGTGATGGAGTTAAATGGACCCCGGTTTCGGATTCAGCGACCCAAAAAACTTGCAATAAACATGGTCTGACCTCTGAGCCCGAAAGTCGATTTGTTTTTGTGTGGCTGTGAATCAATATACAGGGTGTCCCGCATAAGAACCGACACAGAGCAGGTGCATGTAGGGGTGTCTAAAATTTTATAATTTAACCAAACTTACCTATATACAAAGTTGCACCCCTGAGGAGTTATTAGCCCCCAAAGTGGGGCCCTAAATAAAAGTGTACCAAATTTGGTACATGATTTAGGTTT